TCCGCAAAACGATTTAGGTATGACTTTTATCTTAATTTTAGAATTATAAGTAGTAATTACAGTTATAAAAATGTTTTAAAATTGTTTAAACGCTTACTTGATACCAATTAAGCTTCATATTAATAAAAATAAATTTAATTATTTTTCGAATATATGCTTGAAATATTTATTTTTTTCTGACCAAAAATTAAGAGCTAATTTCAAAGAGTCATTTGTCCTTTAAAATTATCATTTTTCTAGGACAAATTAACAACAATAATTAAAGTCCTATTAATTAATGTTATATAAAATAATTAAAAATACCACATCACACAGAACAAACTAATGAAGCACTATTTAGTGTTACTCGCTAACTTGGCTTGCTTCATCTTTTATTAATCTTTAAATTACCAATTTACAATTAATTTTCTTTTTCATACACTTTTATAGGCGTAATCGTTCTGCAAGTGATTCAATTGTTCACAATAAGCTTCTTTTCAATAATGAGGAAAAAATTGAAATTATCGTTGAACTTCGGCAAGTTTTTCTCAGTTTTCTTATTCGTATTGGTGTATTTGATCTATCTTTATATTTCACTGCTTAGAAAGTATATTGAACTTTTTAAGGAATCAATGCAAACTTCAAATATTATAATCAATAATCTTCTATGATTTTATGAATAAAATTATTGTAATAAAATTTGCACAAATTCGTTGAATTATTTTAACAAAGAATTTTTATCATCGCTATATCATTTCATTCTCATTCATTTGATACTTTTAATTCTTATCAAATGCTTTCTTTTTTTTGCTCTTTTCAGAAATCTTGTTAATACAACATCAACAAGTAATAGTTATGTCTTCAGTGTACTTTATGAAAATGATAATGAAAACGAGAAAATGTGGCTGTTGGTCTGTTTTTTTTTTTTTTAGATCTCAACATTTCCAATTTTAATATCCAATTTTAAAATTTGAATCCATCAGAAAGAATTTTATCAATTTTATCAAATTCAATTCAATTATTTCATTAATTGATTTTATGAAATATGCCCGTTTTAGTTGATTTGAATTATTCATAATAGCTAGTATAATTGCTACCATAATGTACTCTGTAGGTTACATTGAGACTTTCGTATGCTAATATTACTATGTCATAATATTAGCATACGCTGTACAGAGCCAAATTATGATTAGCATCTCTGATGTAGAAATATTACATGAAAAAAAATCTGTTAATAAATTAAAATTTTTGGTATTTAATTTATGATTTACCTCGAAAAAATTGTCTCAAATTTGCATTATTCGTTGAAAAAATTAAGCAATACACTGGAAAATTGTTGAGACATTCCTATTGTCAACCATTGTTAACTCAAAAAACATAGCTTATTATGTTTTAAAATTCGAAATTTACAAAACTCAGAGAAGTAAAATCTTTCAATTTATTTAAATTTTAATGAATATATATGATTAGTTAGTTGCATTTTTTGATATTGCTGCAGCATTCAACGAGCGAACCAAAATTGCGATGCTCAAATCATATTTCTTTCAATATGTCTTTCACTGTTGATTATTTCTTCGAAAGGGTACAACTGATGAAAATCGAAGTGTAAGCTATTACTTATGAAGGGCTTCTGAAAATTTAATTTTCATATCAATAATTAATTTTGTATTCTCTGACCGAAAAAGAGTAACTTTGGTATTTTTGAAAATAAATGAGATTTGAATAGGTAATAATTGCATACAATAATGAAATATGTGAAAGAATTCGCGAAATCAGGAGGCATTTATTTGGAGTGAATGAGATATCGCGGGATTAGCTCATAAAACTTGATTGAATTCTAAGTAGACGAAAAGATGAATTGTAACATTTCTATTGAGTTTAAAATTCTTTTCATAAATTTTAAACTCATTTCTTTTTTTTTTTTTTTGCAGAAGAGACTTTTCGATAGGTGCCACATTTAAAAATACAATTGGTAGTGTCATTGGTAGTTGTATATTTAAGCTTGATGAATTAATTGGCGCATTTGGTACACAACTTCAATTGCCCCTCAGGTAATTTTTTTTTTTCATTTAATCAAAAAAAATTATTTAATATTTGGCATTTACTTCTTCTTTCAATCATTATGTAAACTTGAAAATTGTGTTTCAATTTTTATATTTTAAAACACAATTAGAAGCAGCAATTATTTTGCAGTACAAAAACATCAGTAATAGCCACATCTGTTGGTGAACTTCAAGAAGTACCACATGGATCATACTGTGGATGGATTCTTGTCTCTGCACGATTACCTGAAAAAGCAACACCTGTAATATTACAGTTTTCCGGAAAAAATTTGAAAAAAAAGGATAAATTTTTTGATGAAACATCAGTTTTCTTTACAGTAAGTGGTGCATTTATTTAAAGAAAAAAAGAAAAAAATTGACAAAATAATTCATAATCTGATCTGCATTCGCTATCACTCAAATTAGATTACATTAGCAGTTTTTCTAATTGTTACCTTTATAATGTTTACTTATTACTCATCAAATAAGTAAGTACAAGTATAGTTATATCTTTTTTCCTCCAAATAACAATCATTTCAATTAACATATAGCTTTGTTAAAATTAATGATTATAATAAATCTGACTCAAAATTTTCACAGATTACTTTTAAGAAGTTAATCATTTTAAAAATTACGTTCAAGAAGTTATTTATGCTAATATAATTCATAATTTGATCTGCATTCATTATCAGTCAAATTAGATTACATTGAAGGTTTTTCTCATTGTTACTTTTATAATGTTTACTTATTACTCATCAAATAAATATGAGTAAAGTTATTTTTTGCAAAGTTTTTTTTTTCTCAGATACATAGGATTGAAAATGATGAAAGAAAAACGGAATTGTATCGAAGTGAAGCACTACGAGAGCATTCTCATCCTATTTGGAAACCATTTAATTTGCATTTAAGAAAAATTGCTGATAACCGAAATAGGTTTGCTTATTTTTTTACTTTAAATCTTTACCAATTATAGTAACTCAAATTTCACTAATACATGGTTAAATTTGTTTTGTCTTTTTCAATTCATGGTTTTATCAATTTTACTTTTAGTTGGTTAAAATTTAATGAAATGAATTAAATATTTTTGTAATAAAATGAATATAAATATTTCACGTTTTTAAATAGACTGTATAATCATAAAACGTATTACGTTAAGCAATTTTGACGCTAGTATATTTTTCATATCTTTATATGACGTTTCTATACGTTATTTTTTTCTTCTCCTAATATTGACTTATTCAATTATAACAATTTTAAAATTATCACAAAATATCATAAAAATATTTGCCATTTCTTGTCATATCAAAAAATCATTTTTTCACTCTTATTTCACGTAATAAGAACTTTTAGACAAATAAAAAAAAATTATACATATGAAAAAAATTGTGAAAAAAAATTAGACAAATAAATGTACATAAATTTATTGCAATATAATATTTATTACAATTAATATTACAAATTATTTTACCTTATTTTTAAATCGTATCATTTAAAATATGAATTAAAAAATAGTATGGGGATAATTTGGATTAATTGTTGAAAATATTTCCAATCAAAATTTAAACTTTGCAGATTGCTGGAAATATCTGTGATGTATCGTGATGAAATGAATAAAATAGGCATGATTGGTTCATTTCTAACAACATATGCAAAAATGAAATATGGTCCGGGAGCGGAAAATGTTTATAATTTGGTTAATCCAAAGAAGAAGTCAAAAAAAGGATATTTGAAAAGTGGAACAATGGAATTGATTAAATTTAGCGATGTATCCTTTTACTCATTCTTAGATTACATAACCAGCGGGTCAGTTGTTCAACTTTTTCAAATCAAAAATTTTGAAATATTATACCATTTTACACTTCAGTGTAATGATTAGATTGGAAATTTTATAATATTTAATTTTAAATGCATCTTTGGTAGATACTTATCAATTTACTTATCAATTTACTAAGTGAAAATGTTACTGTTGATTCTGTCATGATTCTAAAATTATTAGAACTATTCTTGATGATCTTGCTGAACTAACTGAGAAAATAAATGATTAAAATGTAAAAAAGATGGAACATACATATTAATTAACAATATTAATATTAAAATGTGACATTCAATTATTTTATCATTTCTTATGAAAAAATATTTCAGAACCCAACTTCATCTTGCGATCGCAGTGGATTTTTCAAAAAACTTAACTGTTAATAAATTAAATGATATGCATGCATTTGACAATGATTTTGATTGTGCTATTAAAGGTGTCGCCGGCATTATTCGAGATTATAATTCGTACGTCATTAATACTAATTCATCAGTTTGATATGTTATTTTATTAATAAATAAATTCTTTTTTTTCGCAAAACTTTCAGTCTATTTTGATGAGAAATTTAATAGCTAATTTTTTTTCTAACAAACTTTGTAAAATTTTTTCTTTCACTACGATTTTAAATTTTGCAACAATTATTAGGAAACTCATTGCACTGAATATAGTGATTGATGTTATTTCACATTTAATTTTTGTTTCTGATACTACAAAATTATGACATTTATAGGAGTAAAATGTTTCCGGCATTTGGTATTGGTGCAAAAATTCCACAAGCATTGAATAATCCTCAAATTTTTCATTTGGTTAGTGTTTCAGTTAGTTTATTGGAAAAATTCTACACTAATATTTCATTTTTGATTGTTGCATTTTGATTATCAATTGTGAAAGAATTTCGGAATGGTGCTATACTTAATTAAATTAATTATTCCGTTTATTAGATTGTTTTGCGCCATATTTCTGTTACTTAATAATAGTAAAGTAAATTTAATGAATCAGTGGCTAAAATGAAATGAATATTTTTATTTCTATTTTTTTTTATGTTTACATGTATTTATCAGTTTCAAAACTATAGATATTAGGAAGGAAGTGAAAATACTTTTTTGAAAGTTTTTTGCACGTATAAATAGAAATATATGGAAATGAATTCATACTACTTGTTAACAATTATGTCATTAATTAATTATTGTTTTTATTATTTTTATCTTTATCAGCCACCTTTATCTTCATTAATTAATTAATCATTATCATAACGCCTTGTTGGTAATTATTTTGTCATTACATATTATTAATTGATTATTATCTTTATTAAAGCTTAAAAAATTAAGCTATCATTTAATTTTCATATTTGTTGCAGAATTTTGAATCAGAACCGTATTGTCGCGGTATTGAGGGAATATTGGAAGCATATCGAAATGCTAAAGAAAAAGTGATACCAACTGACCGCGCCGAATATTCATCTGTTGTTAATGCTATAGCTAAGTGAGCCTATCGGATATATTTATTGAAATTCATTTTGAAAAATAAGAAAAAATTTCGTAGCTATAGTGATTACTTAGATATTATTAATTTTTTTAAATAAAAAATAAAATTTCCATAAAGTGTATGAAATATTTGAAAATTTATTTTTAAACGGTCATACACTTCAATAAGCAATCATTTATTAATTTTAGAATGGCGGAAAATGAGGGTAAACATGGTTTGCATTACTTTGTTTTGCTCATTTTTATACCGACCATTGCCAATTCAAAGAAATTATTGGATGCTATAACAAATGTAACAAAAGCACCGATTTCAATTATATTTTTGGGAAGGCAAATAGCAGAATTGGATGGATTTCACAATGCTATAAGCCACAAGAAAAATTCATTTCCGGATGACGTGGCAACCAATTCTGATCTTGTTGAGGTTTTATTTTGCTAGGGAAGAAAAACTTATTTCAATAATTTCCTTGCTTATCATTTAATGAGGATCGAGTAATTTAATATATGAAATTTTCAATCGATTAATTATTTTACGCAATATAAATTTTTGATTTTATAACAAAGTTTCTTTATTTTCGTTTTTTTTTTTTTCAACTCAGAATGTTATGTAAAATTTTCACTGTGCCATTTTATTCAGCAAATGACATTTTGCAAAATAGCAAAGCATATGTTAATTAGAATTTGAATGCAAAACACGAAATTGAACTTTTCTTAATATTCGAATTTCATGAAATAATTTCTTTTGTTTTTTTTTTTGATTGCAAGTTTTTTTTGTTGAATGATTTTCTGATTTTTTGCAAATTTTTTCAACTTAAATCTGATTAATTATAGTTCATCGATTTAAATTCAATAATGACGCAAGAAGCAACATTAAAACAAAATGCGAGACGAATAGCTGAGCGAGCTTTGCGTAATGTTTCATGGCATTTAATTGCTTATATGCATAAGAATAATATTGCTGCAAAACCTCCGATACAGGTTTGGCTAATGAATTTCTCATTTTTTTTTACACATAAAATTTTAAAAAATATCAATTAAATTGTACTAAATTTTAAATCAAAATGTTTAGATTAATCGTTCATCAGTTTTTCATTCATCATATTTAATCCCACATCGGCCATCACAATACGAGGAACAGTTATATTGGAATAGGAATGAGCAAAATCGTATCAAATGTATCGCACCAAATGGGTCACGTAAGCATTCAGAAAATATTGAACGAAATGCTAACATGAAAAAATTTTGGGATAAAGGTAATAGAATTTTTTTGCAAAATAATTTACTTAAAAATTTATCACTTTTTTCTTTGATACATTTAATTGAATACTTTCTTAGAGGAAAATTTCTTCGTAATTATTTTTAGAAATTAATTTAATTAATTTTACTTTTTTCTTTTGTTTTCTAATTTGTTTAAAAAAAAAAATTATTTCACAGCAATATTCCGTTCACAATCAGTAGTGAGCGGTAAGAATGAAGAATTGAATTCATCATCCAATCGTCAGCTATCACCGCAATATTCCTCTCAACGACATCCAAGACGGGTTTTAAGAAGGCAATTAGCTATTTCATGATTTTTGTGACTTTATGAAAACTTCAAAAGAATTGAATGAAAAAAAGTGATAAATCAATAAATGAATTTAATTGTTCCGCTATTGAATTGAGTGATTTTTTTTTTTATTTAGGTATTTAATCTGTGTAAATTTAAAATTCAACCAATACAAGTATTATTGTTATATGGAAATATAAATTTTTCAGATTGAAATTTATCCCATTTCACTATTAATAATATTCAGTAGAGAATTTAAAATATCATATTTGCATAATACAAATATTTCATAAATAAACTTATTTTGTAGCTAACAGAACAAATGACAAACAAAGGCTGTTAGCAGGACAAACGAGAATATTCACATGAATGAAACGGGTCAATATAAAAATAAATTAGAAACCTCAGGAATTTTTTAATTAATTATCCACAAAAATAATATTTTGTTTGTACAAATTTTATCAAGAAATTTGTATCATTTTTTGACTAATACATTGTGTTGCAATAAGAAATGTTATTAATTGTTCGATAATAATTTATACTAATTTGAAACTTCTATTCTTATCTTTCACAATTCTTTGCCATTTTTAATTATAAATTTTATATTTGTTAGAGAAAGCATTTATCTTCAATATTTTCTCAACAATTGTAACAATAAATAGCCGAGAAATAATTAATACTGAAATAAATCATTCTTTCAGGTTTTGCTAATATTGTTCCGAACTATACTGTATTTGAGCAAATTATTTATAAATTTTATTTTATATTTTTAATCGAACTAACTATACAAAGTATAGACACAAGTATAACTAACTACAGAACTATTTGAGCAGATAATTTACAGATTTTATATTTTTAACTGAACGCTTAATTTTTCAAACTATGCAAGGAATTTTTTTAATCGGATGAAATTAAAGGGACAATTAAAAGTTTGAGTAAGAGAGTCTAAAATTCTGCAAATTTATTGTCTGACAATGAATTAAGACAAAGTTAAGTTAAAAGGATAGCATGAACTTATACTAATTTACGTTTCTTATAAGAAATCATATATTTCGCCTAACACAAATCAAATTTCTTATCAAAACATATTTTTGACAAGTAGCTGTAGCACATCGTCTTCTCGAGTTTTTTTTTTGAGCAGTTTTGTAATTTCAGTAAGTAATTTAGATTACTTTTAACACTTTTACTTTTCATTTATTATATGAAAGTTTGAAATTAGTGTAAAGTTGAATCAAAAAAAATCCATTTTCAAGAATATAACTGCTGCATGAGGTGAAATGTTTTAAAGAAAGAATGTCAATTAAATTCTATACCCAAGTAAGTATCAGTTTTGACATCATTAAAAAAAATTTTTTACAGCTTCCCAGTTAAATGACGCAATCAAAGCGAAACAAAGAAATTATTATTAAAAAATATAAACAACAATTATTTTGAAATTTATAATATAAAATTTAGTGATGTTATTTAAAAAAATTTGATCAAAATAAGAATAGCTTTTAATGATATCTTGGTTTATTTTCAATAATATAAACAACAATTATTTTGAAATTTGTAATATAAAATTTATTGAAGCGAGAAATATTTTGATAATTGTACTTTTCTTGGTCTGTGATCCGCCAATTTGCATAGCGTTGAGAAACACAGCCGGATAATATTCTGCTTGTCTTACAACTTTTTCATTCTGTGGCAAAGAGTTTCCTCGTATACTTTTTCTGACCTTTGCTGTTGAGAGAAGGACTCTTTCACCTTTTTCTCTCTCTTTCTATCTCTCTCTCATACTCTCATCCTTTTCTACACTTCAAATTGTTTGATATTATCTGTCTTTCCTGATTCTCTGCTCCAAATAAAAAGGGTTTTTTTTTCTTTTTCCGATTTTCTTCTTTGCTCAGATATGGTTTCTTATTTACAGTTCTTTATTATTTCCTTGTATAGCAATCTGTATTTATCAAATCCTTATCAGACATTTATACTTCCGAAGTTATACCATTCATGTAATTTATTTTTATAAAAAATTCTAACTTGACGAATTAATAATTGTCATTTCATTGTTTTTCGTTAAATTTTACGAAACTTCCAATTTCCATATGCAAAAAAACCACACATAAACATCAGGGAATGTAACATAGGTGAATGATGCTCAAACAATGTCCCAGTTTGTGGATCAACAAGCTCCGGAATCATTGGTTCCAGTGTTCGCATTCGATGAATCTGCACTAATCTCTGTCGTGCCAATGTTGGTCATTTTCTACGACATTTTAAATTACTCTTTCTTAGGAAATAAAAAAATTGAAGAAAAAAACAAGTTATGATGATCATCTCGCTTTACTGTACAGTCGCTCAAAGAGAAGACGAAACTTGAACCTTTGATCAAAAGATCAAAAGAGCAAAGACTCAAGTCTAATCTCCTTTTTGAATTTATGATGCAAAAAAAGTGATGTAAACTTTTATGTCGTGTATGATTAGAACATCAGTTATCTCACTGCAATCAATGGTTTATTTATTTAAAAAAAAAAGAACTACAGCTGTAGCATGAATTTATTTTCAAGGTCAACGAAACATTTCTGCTCACTGCATTGATAATCATTGAACAAAATAACTGCTCTTTATGGAATATCATTTCGATCAAAGTTTGCATTCTACGTAGCAATTTTTTTTTTCGGATTGATCAGTTTTTTTTTTTTTTTTGGATTCTACAATATAGTTCAAAAAAAAAGGAGGTAGGAAGAAGAGTACGAAAAGTGTAGTTTAAAGAGTGGTAACCGGGTCGGCCAAAATCATAGCAAAAGTATGAAGTAGATAATTGATAGTGTTCTATGCTAGAAATATTTTGCATTACTTATTTTTAAATTTTCGCACACTTTTCATGTATTCAATGTAAGCCATGAGATCAAGACTTATCATGATATTAAGAAAATTAACATTAGCGTTTGAATATATCCGTTAGTGTAAGATTATGGAACTGCAAGCAAATTTGTAAGAAATACAAAATGAATTGAGGCGATTTATAAAAGCCTTTAAGAGTTCACAAATATATTTCAAAATTTTGAGTAGTTGTTTGTTTCATACATTGAAACCAGATCTAAAGGATTTGCTTGCTCCGTAACGATGAAGACGTTAGGAGTGGCGTAATCATTAAAAAAAATATTATCTTAGTTTGAAAGCATTTTATCTACAATTACGTGTAGTTAATTGAATTTTTTCATTGTTTATAGTTTTTTGGGTATCAATTTGAAAATTCTAGTCCGGTATACGGTATGTATGCCTGACTGAAATTAATATTTTCTTCATTTACTGTTGTAATCTTTCATGATGGATGCAGTACGACCAATTGAAGTTATTAATTAAATTAGGAAAAAAGGTGAACTGTATTTAATGGGTGCGGAATCGTTATATAGCCTTCATACTTCAAAAACAGTCAACCATTTTCAATTTTTTGTTCTATACTTATTTCATTAGAAAAATTTCCATTTTTGAAATGATTGATTTTATTGGATAGTATTACACTTGCAATTTGTCTTCCATTAGTGCCTCGATTAGAAGGATCACAATTGATTCACTTTTAAGGATCAGTATTTTGAATCTTAGAAAAGGAGATGGATGCTTGCAGTGCTACTCCCAATATCAGAAAATCCTGTGTTAATCAAATATTAATTAACAACTTGACTGTTTGTGTACTTGATACTCAAAGATCTACATAAATGTTGAATAGAAAATAATTTAATGAACATTTTTTGCTCGGCATTTATGTGGATTTTTAAGTATTAAGTACACAGATAGTGAAGTTGTTAGTTAATGTTCCACCTCATGAGACTGTTAATGTCGGCTCCATCAATTACTGTAACCTTATGGTTACTCTTGTTTTTAGAACAGTTCTGTTACGAATTGTTATGTTGACTATTAAAATTACAAACTCCGGTTTTTATGTTTATATTCAGTTTAGATAAATATGATTTTCATTGAAAAGTGATTATTTCTAATTTTTAAGTTACTAATTGGAAAATAATGGTAGACCTATTTTTGTCTCATTCTTGTCTCATTGAAGATTTGCATGAAATTCAAAATCCCGGAGATGGACAACAAAAATAGTGAAACAGGACGTCAGTTGGAGGATGTGTATATTATTTCAGCCGTACGTACGCCTATAGGTGGTTACCGTAAAATGTTGAAGAAGTGTTCACCGATGTATTTAGGAGTTGTCGTGGCCAAGGAAGCAATCAGAAAAGCTGGTTTAATTTGTTGCTTTAAATTAATTTATAGAAATTTATTTGTTTCCAAAAGGCTTGAAAAGAATGTGAAGCAAAAATTGTGAATTCTAAATGCTTTTTTCCAACTTTCTTGCTTTCAATTTTGTGGAAATTTCTGTTAGTGATGTATAAACATATACTTTTATAATGATTTTTAGAATTTTTAAAATTCTAAAAATGTTATTAATAGAATTCCCTTTTCAAGCTAGGAATTGTTAATTTTCCTGATATCCAAAATAAGTAATTATGAGGGAATAAAGCATGTATTATTATAATGCAGCCTTTTGAGTTCAGTTTTAAGAAATAAAGTTGCTTCAATTCCATATTCCAGTTCGCTTTTTTTTAGTAAGATCGATCATTACATGTAATTTTTAGGGATCTATCCTAGTCATATCGATGAAACAATGGTCGGTTGTGTGCTTACTTCATGTCACGGACAGAATATCGCCCGACAGATTTCAATTAATGCTGGTAAATGGTATATAATACTGAAATTTTTGGAAATTAGTCGACATCAAAATACAGTTTCTAGAATTTTTTCCATACTAAAGTGAATTTAGGAATTCCGGTTACTTCGCCAAGTGTAACTATCAATAAGGTATGTTCATCGAGTATGAAGGCAATCATCATGGCTACTCAAGCGATTCATCTGGGAGATCGTGATGTTGTCCTGGCTGCCGGTACGGAAAGTATGAGTAATGCTTACTATGGCGTGCCTCGCGGTGACAACGACGATATGAGTAATCCCTTTGTAGTAAGATTTTGGAATTTAAATCTAAAACGCTGATTTATTCATTTTTAAATTTCTTGAGGTCTATACTTTACACGTTTGTACCAGATTTCTGTTTTTCATTCTTAAGTGCTAGCAATTTTCAGGATAGTATGTTTGAGGATGGTTTGAATGATGCCTTTACAAAATCAAAGATGGGCGTTTGCGCCGAAAAAACTGTCTCTGAATATTCGATAAGCCGTAAAGAGCAGGATGAGTATGCATTAGAAAGCTATCGGCGAGCTCAGTATACTTGGAAGGTAATATTTGTTATGTAATATTCTGTAGTACCAATACTCGGACTTTATATTTCCAGCTTATAAGATTTCAAAAAATCTGTTTAAAGGAAGGCTTGTTTGATGAAGAAGTTGTGCCGGTGAAGTGTTCTGATTCAGATGAAGTATTTCAAGATGAGGAATATAAAAGACTGGATCCTTTGAAGGTAAGCATTTCCATTTTATTGTTTTTGTCTAAGGGTTTTGAAAAAAAAGCAATATATTCAGGCGGATTCTTCCTGTTTATAGATGATTCTTCTTTCTTTATTTTAAACGTGGAATGTTATTTGATATTTTATTATCATTTTTTACCAACTAATTAGTTTCACTATGGCGAGAAATGACGATTTCAAAACTTTCGTTAGGTCTTTTATTTACCACATTGTTCTAGGTACCCCGTCTGAAACCTGCCTTCATACCGGATACGGGGACTATAACTGCAGCAAACGCTAGCACTATTAGTGATGGAGCAGCTGCACTGTTGATTGCAAGCAGTAAATTTATAGCTCATCGAGGTTGTCAGCCAATAGCGCAAGTGTTGGGTTATGCAGAAGCTGCACTTGAACCTGTAGAATTCAGTCGTGCACCGTCTGTTGCTGCAAAAAAGGTTAGTTTGTATTTAAGATAATATTGGCAGTTTTGTTACCTTATTACTCTGTCACTGTTCCATATTTCTTTGTTGAGCAGGTAAAAAACGAATATTTTCTATAACCGAAAATTTTGTTTGCAAGACTTTTCGAAATTTTTAAAGTTACTTTCGAAAATTGGCATTTCGGCGGAAGAAGTTTCATTATGGGAAGTAAATGAAGCATTTGCTATGACTGCCATTGTTTTTTTGCGTGATATGGGTTTGGATAGCAGCCGTGTTAACGTGCGTGGTGGATCTGTTGCGCTTGGTCATCCGATTGGGTTTGTTATTGTTTTTCTGAAATTTCATTTGAGCGGACTCATGCGATTTAGTCCCATCGACAACTTGAAAGTTGAATTTTAAAAGAATCAAAAAGTGATTTGACGATGCTCTTATTTTGTAGGAGTGTTCAGTATCTATAACAATCTACAGTTAAAAATAACTCAGTTGATAGGAAATGTGATATGATAAATATCCGAGATTTCTTGTTTTAGATGTTTTTTTATTCACAGTTTGATGGGATACTAGTAATCATTGCAAAATAATCTGCTGGTGAGAGATTTCATAACCATAATTTGCCGAGTGATGATTACGTTTCATACTCATTGCCAAGTGAAACTTAATACCCTAATTAAAATCGTTTAGGAGATTAAACAATTTTAGTTGCACATATGGTTTTATCTTAATTTCTTATACCGACCATTCATTCTGTTCTTTACAATGTTTAAGCCTTTAACATTAAGCTTTTTCCATACTTTTTCATCTGCTGCTTTTTCTTAACCTGCTTCTTTACACATCTTGCTCGTTGTTTGCCATAAGCTAAATTTTCTTTGCAGAGCATCTGGAGCACGAATAGTTGTAACATTACTCCATGCTCTTCAAGTCAATCAGATTGGTATCGCAACGATATGTAATGGCGGAGGCGAATCGACCGCTGTGGCAGTAAAGCGACTATAATACGAGTAAAAAACATTGTAAAACTTAGTCATATTTGCATCGAAGTGTACTTATTTCTTGCCATGACCCAGAAATGACCTTTACTTAAACTTGTCATTTGAATATTCTGTTTGAATTTCTAAGAGCTGCTCTTTACTGACCAGTCGATATTTTTTTCCTTATCGTCCACTAATACTGTTCTCATAGAAGTGTAATAAAAAGTTCGCATCTGGTGGATATATTTTTTCTGATTTCCGATTTAGACATTAGACATTCCTTAGTTTGAAATCAGTATATTTATATAGTATTATTTTTTGATGTCGTTTAAATGAAATAAAATGTCAATCGATGTTTTACGTCAAATGTAATTAGGATGGAATCTTCAAAAAAGTGGAAAAAGATATCAAATTTTATGCTGAAAGTCATTTAGCTTAAATAATATAACCAAGCAGAATTTTGTTCTCATGGTATGTTTTAAATAAATATATTATTTTCACCTTCAGTAATGTAGTCGCAGTGCATCAGATTTTAAATTTCAAAGATATAATTTTTGAATGATGAAATGAAACTTCTAAAATCTTGTTTTCAAATATGATATGCATATAACAATGTGAGAATAACTGATAATAAGGTATTTAATGAGTATGCTTTACGATAAAATAAGCCAAAATTTTTTCTTGAAAAATCAACAAGCCATCGAGCTATTAATAAGAAATGCATGTTGTAGCGATACATTTAAATGCATTTTATGGGTATTGAGGATGATTAAATAACGGTAGTTTGTAATGCATGGCTCATTTTTCTTCCTCAAATTCACTTTTTATTTATTGATTCCAGTATTTATGTATATTTTTTTACCCCTCCAGGGGAATGTCATTTTCAACAGTAAAAAAGAAGGGAGAATGTCATCCCTGCGTGTATAGTTTTTTTTCCCGAAAAAAAAAAAGCAATTTTAGCCTTAACATTATTACCGACCATTGTAGCATCATTTTTTTTTAAATCATGGATAGATCTTCTATTTAAATTGGATAGGTTTAGTTTTTTGCATTTTATCTGTTGATCCTACAACAACTCTGCCATTTCAATAAACTTTTCCGAAATAACATAAATGATTGTGAATATTAGCACTTTTTGCATTACCTTTTATTTCTTATTATCTATTTCATCTAACTATTTGCATTTGTTTTTCAAGTGAGAAAATTTTATAAATATACAAATTCGATCTAATATATATTCTGTTTTGGTCTGATAAATGGAAGTTTATAATGCATTAAGTATTCAATACAATAAGCCTACACTATCACCTGCCTATTTAGCTTAATTAAATTATTACCTCAATTAGATAGTCAAGATGCGACTGTTTTTTTCAATCTTTTTTCAATCATTTTAGATTTCACTGTGATTCGATACCAATCAAGAAACAAATTTGGTGTCATAGAATTAAAAATCATATTCAAAAATAGAAGTTAATATTTATTTCAATTAGAAACGCCTACTTTTCTATGCAAAAAATGATTAATCTAGTTTTCATTTTCATCCATCTTTTTAATTTTAAATAGCAAAAATCCTTCCCGATATTCCATATTCCATAAATGATATCAAATGATACCTTGTAAAAAACAGATGAAGGAAAAATAAATTGATGTGCTTTTTTTTTTTGAAAAATTTTTATTTTTCCAAAAATTTAGCATTCTTTCTTTCATATGATATAAATAATTAAAATTTAAATGTTTTGAAATCAATAGTTTAATTTTTTTAGCTCAATTAATAAGTGAATATTTATTTCAAGCTTTCAATTTTTTATTATCTACAAAAGATTTATAAATTATACATTAGATCATCTTGTGAGCATTTCATTCCATTTCACTTGATTCATCATATAAATTTGATTAACAAAATTGACTATCTTACAGCAAATGATATGAATTATATCACAGCATTCGATATAGGACTTAGTAAAGATGTTTATTATAGCGGTGAAAATATATCAGGCAATGTTATTCTTGAAAATTCACACGATATTCTTATTAAAGGTTTAGATTTTTGTTATTTTAAAGCATAAAATTACAATGATATCCATTAGCAACATACTATTTTTTTTTTCTCATCCCATATAGCTTTAAAATTTTGATTCGTCGACTTTCTCATTCTTTACATTTAATCGCTATTTAATTTGAAAGTGTTAATTTTTTATGATAAATTATTCAAAGAGGAAAATTAATTAGCTTGCATGAAAATGTCTCACTCATTGTGTGACAATTTCCAATCTTCAGATATCCGTGTAATTCTTCGTGGTAAAGCTCATATTCATATTAAATTAAACAAAGCAGGCGAAAAACGTACCATCAAAGATGATCAATACATATTGAATGAAAAATTAGTGGTATGGGATCAAGGCAAGAATTTTTTTTAACATTTCAAAATTTACTGCATTTAATTAATTATAATTCATGCCAGATAAAACAAAACAAAGCAACAAATACACAACAAAAACAATCTTACAATACAACACAATTAAAAATAACAGAAAAAAAAATTAAAAACAACAAAACAACTTTAAAACAATTTTGCTATAGAAGTAAAATCATTTTGAAGTGAAAAAAAAAAGAAGAGAAGGAAAATGAGAAGGATAATTTGTTACATAAAAAGATTCACTAACTAATGCAACTTTGACTAATCGATGAATTAAGTTAGAAAATTAAACAATTTGAAAATATTGGAATCTTTCGTTGATCATCAACACTCACAAAATGCAAAATGCAAAAATTCTAACATAGGTCCTAAGAATGAATGAATTCTAAAAATGAAACTCCATTGTACCTGTCCGATTGGAAAATTATATTAAATTAAATTTGCAAACAATTCGTTCATTCTTAGGATCCATGTTTCAACATTTCCATTATTAAATTTTAATTCTGATCACTTTGTTTATTTTTAGCAATTTAAAATGCAAAATTTAATTTTGAAAATTTTAAAAACTACCGCGTAAATTATGCAAAAGGAAAAAATAAATAAATTTTGCAGAAAAATGCGATGAAAAAGATGATCGCATATTATATAGTGGTTTGCATCAATTTCCATTTCAATTTCGATTACCACACTCTTCAATGCCATGTTCATTGGAGACGAAATTTGGAACGATACGTTATTATGTTAAGGTACGAATGAACAAATCTTATATGATATGATAATACACTGATAATTGATAACTGTGCTTCAATTGTATTATATGTAAATTAAATTTCGATATGTTACACTTCGATTTAATTTTTAGGTAATTATTGATATTGCACATGGCAGTATACCACAAGGTATCAAATATTTCACAATTATTGGACCATCTACAGATTGTATGGATGAGAAATATTGTGTTAGTTGCATTTAATTTCGTTTTTTAATTCAAAATTAATGCTAAAGTTTGAATTTAAACTTACTCTTACTTTTTGCAGTGTGCATTGCTTGGACAAAACAAGGAAGTAACATGGCATGGATGCTGTAAACGTGGTGCTTTAGCATTAAGGTGAGATAATTATTTGCAAAATGTTGAACTTAAAGATTACACCAAATAAATGAATAACTAATAATCGGTTACAGAGTTGTTGAGTAAATGCTTTAAATTTACTTTTTTTATCAAAATTTCTACAACTCATTTTTATGCAGTGTTTTGAATAGATCAGTTTAAACTACTATCAAAGATAATTAGTATAAAATATAATTATCTCAAATGTTTTGTTCTGCAAAATTTTTTGCTTTTAAATTTTTACTTTTTCAGAGTTATTATGGATCGTACAGCATATTTATGTGGTGAAAATGTAAGAATTTTAGCACATGTTGAGAATCGGCAAGATGGAATAGTTTGGATTGTAATGCGTCTAACTCAGGTTTTGTTTTATTTTGGAAGATTTCAACTTTATGCAAAAATTTTCGTTCTCAAATAATTTAAACTTTACAGACGATTAATTTCAACAACAAAAAAAATCCATTTAGGGTTTTTTTAAAGTCACTAGGATTTAAAGTCACTAGGATTTATGAAATAATGGAGAAAGGATTGACTGGTGATTACTGAGCGATAAGTAGTGTTGCTTAATTTTCAATTTAAATTTTAATAATTTAAATGTTGATTTTAGCACGTGGAATATTTTGTGGAGAAGAATGCTGGAGAAAACAAACAGATTGATTGTGTAGTTTTGGAAAACAAGTGAATTTTAAAGCGGTAATTTTAAATTAAGCAAGGCATCACAATATTCTTCTCTCGGATAGTTACAAAAAAATTAATGGTTAATGCTACTAACTCTTCCTGTCATGTTGAAGAATAGCAATATTGATTGAAAGTGTAAATGTGTCAAATAATGGTAACATTGATTAATGTGTTAATTCAATATTAGTTCTAATATCATCAGGACATTACCTGTTCAACCATATACGCAAGGCAAATTTGATACAGCTCAATTGCAATCATTTATCTTACCTGTTGTACCTCCAACATTGATCGGTGTTTGTAGATTGCTACAGATCTTCTACACATTTCAAGTACATTTTAACTTAATTTTCGTTCTTCAAAGTACTTCTTTTTCACTTTTTTATTAATTTCTTTAATAAACCAGGAACGTTTTTGAAATTACCAAAATTTAAAAACTGTTTTAAACGTAAAGAAAAATTCGCCGAAGATGACTTACCATGGCCATGATAGCTCAGTCGGGAGAGCGTTAGACTGAAGATCTAAAGGTCGCCGGTTCGATCCCGGCTCGTGGCGTCGACTTTTCCCTCCAATTAAATATGATCAACCGATGATGATGTCTCATCTCCTTTGTTTAAAAAAAAAATTCGCCTTTGAGAGCAAGTGAGCCATTAGGAGTATTATACAATTATGACAATCATTAGCTGGGAAAAAAAAATCGATGCTAGTATGATAACTTGAAATTTAAATATAGGCTTATGTAGAAGATGAAAAAGGCAATCAAGCACTGCAAATGGAATTCCCGCTTACAATTGCTACATTACCGTTCCTGAAAGCAACAATGCCAAAACCTATGCTTAATTACGGTATGCAATTTTTCTAGCAGTTAAGGTGGCGAATGAAAATTAAAATTTAAAAATAAAACATGAAGAAAAAAAATTGAATGTTTGAAAATCTTTCAGTGAAAAATGGAAGAATAACATGTTAAAATGTGACAAAAACGATCAATAAAAAATCTCACATACGTTTATTGATAATCTATTATCACATCATTCCTATCACTAAAATCCATCAAAAAAGAGAACCGATCAATGAATTGTATACACGACCTAATTAGAATCTAATGATAATAAATTTTATTTGCAATATTTCCTAAAATCAAAAGCACAAAGTCTTTGTCAATAAATACCAAATAATTTTATTAAAAAATCAAAAACCATCGCTAATTTAATTTATGATATTAAAAA